TCGTGTAAAGGTCATACAATAGAAGATTCGAAGGTTGTTATTTTGTATCTCGAATAAATATATTTCCAGTCTGCACGTTCTTCAGAGTTTGTTCAGGTTCCATTGTCACAACCATAGAGCTTGGTGCAGTGGTGTGCGACGCGGTTTTCTCCCAGCGTGGTCGCGGGATCGATCCTTCTCCTTGCGTAAATATGAGAGTTTTTTTTGTTCCCAGCAGAAGGAAATAGCGTGGGCCGCGCGACCCGATTTCAGCCCGCGTACAGCCCGCGCGCCTCACAGATTGGAGCCCGCGAAAAGCCCGATTCCAGCCCGCGTGTAAGCCCAACATGGCAGCGCATCTCCTTGGCCCAGATGTCTGTCCGCGTGGCCCAACTTCCGTATGCGCGGCCCAATTGCATCAATACATGCCAACAAGTCCCTGCCTGCGGCCCAGTGACGCGTCCTCACTCCAGATGCTTTCCAGTGAGGCACAGAGCGAGTCCAGCGAGCCCAGACAGCTTCAGACCGGTCCAGGCGGTCCATGCAACTCCAGATCGGCCCAGCAGAGTGGCAGCATGGTTGAACTCGGTTCAACTTGGTCCAGATGCCCCGGTTCGTGCCCGAGATGGTTCCTGAGCAGTCCGATCCACTTACCGAAGGTCCGAGACTATCCGATGAGCTTGATGAGCGATTGGAGCACCATGTGACTCGATTAGAATCGAGAAAGGCCAAGTCCAGCTGCCAATTGGACTTTGGTGTTCAGTCGATCTCCATCAACGGAAATCAGAAACGTCTCAGAGTCGGCAATTATTTTAAACCGTAAGTCCTAATCCTAACTATATATTCCGCTGCGTTAGAATTTATTATTCAATAGATTTGAATGTGCACATTGTCGACGTTCCTAATAGAACCCAACATGGTCGACGCCTACGACGATCACAGAGGCTCAGAGCTTCCATGGCCTCGCTTCGTCTTATCGTCGCTTTATCTCGCATTTTAGTTCTATTATGGCTCACATCACAGATTGTCTAGCCGGGAAGTCGTTCGTGTGGACCCAACAAACTGCCGAGGCTTTTGAGTTGACCAAGCAGCGACTCACGTCCGCTCCAGTTTTGGTGTTGTCAGATTTCTCACGACCTTTCGAGCTTTCTTGTGATGTTTCCCGGGTCGACATTGGCGTGATCCTAAGCCAAGACATGCGTTCGGTTGCGTACTTTAGTGAGACGATCTCGGGCCCTCGGATTCGTTATAGCACGTACGACATCGAGTTTTATGCCATCTTTCGGGCCGTTCGTTTTTGGAGACACTATATTTTTCATCTTGAGTTTGTCCTCTTTTCTGACCATTAGGCGTTGCGATATATCGCTTCCCAGGACAACATTAGTGCACACCATGCCACGTGGATTTCCTACTTGCAGTAGTTCACTTTCGTGTTGAAGCACCGGTTGGGGACCTCCAATCGTGTGGCCGATGCTCTTAGCCACTGTTCGATGTTGTTGTCGGATATGCGTGTCTCGGTGGTAGGGTTTGAGTTGTTGCGTGATCTTTATGCATCAGACGCGTTCTTCAGGCCGATTCTTACACGTTTAGTGGCAGGTCCTTTCGAGGATTTTCTTCTGACCGATGGCTTTCTTTTCTGGGGCGTGCGCTTGTGTATTCCAGAGTGTAGCTTGAGTTTGAAGTTGGTGGCCGAGCTGCATGGGGCTGGTCACGTGGATAGGGACATGTCTGTTGAGCTGGTGCAGCGTTCGTACTTTTGGCCTTCCTTACGCCGGGACGTTTCCCAGTTTGTTGCACATTGTCGCATCTGTCAAGTATCCAAAGAGAGCGCGACGAACGCTGATCTTTATCCCCCATTGCCTATTTCGTCTCAGCCATGGACGGCCATCAGCATGGATTTTGTACTTGGTTTTCCACGGACGCAGAAGGGGCATGATCTTATTTTTTTGGTGGCGGACCGCTTTGCGAGGACGTTCGAGGCCCTCCAGTTGCTCAATTATTTTTTTGGGAGGTTTATCGTCTCCATGGGCTCTCGTCCTCGGTTGTTTCCAACCGCGACTCGAGGTTTCTTAGCCATTTTTGGCGCAGTCTGTGGTGTCTCGCTAACACTCGTCTTGATTTTAGTAGCGCCTATCACCCACAGACCGACGGTCAGACGGAGGCCGTCAATCGTTCTCTCGGTAATCTACTGCGTTGCTTAGGCGGTGAGAATTTGCGCAGTTGGAATTCGAGACTTGGCCATGCAGAGTTCGCCCACAACTCGGTCGTTAGTCGGGCTACGGGTTTTTCCCCTTTTAAGGTGTTTACGGAGTTCGGCCACGTGGCCCGTCGAATTGTTGTCCTTGTCGTCCTCGGAGCAGTCGGATCGCCGGGTCGAGGGCTTGATCGCGTCGTTGCAGCAGATGCATGCGTCGGAGCAGTCAGATCGGCGGGCCGAGGACTTAAAAATAAATTTTTTTCTAAAAAAATAAATTATTGTGTTTTATATAATTATATCAAAATACAAAGTGATCGAAGTCTTAAATTGAAATGTAGAATGTAAAAAATATGCCTTATATTGAAAATAACTTAAAAATAAAACCCTCGTTTAAAAAACCTAAAAATTTAGAACTTATTGTAACACAATACCCACAAATCAAGCCGAATTATATTTTGAGTAAAAAAATTATTTAGTCAAAAATGACCAAACATCTTTTAAACAATCAAGGCTTTCGACGTGGATAAAGTCTTAATAAATTATAATAAAATTAAATATTTTAATAAGTTTGATAAAAAGATGCAAATATGAATTAAATAAAAACAAACCATATCGTTACGGTATCATCCTATCGGGTGTTCTAACCGTTGAATAACATGTAATATGTATAAGATATATAATCTAACGATTAAAACACCAACGCGATAGTACCTTAACGAGACCATAACATTTTCCCGTGTTCAACATCTCTTGGTGCCACACACCTATATAAGTATAAACCAACTCAACCAAGGTTACTTTTTCTGATAGCCCTCATACACTCACTGTCCCTCTCATCTCACTTTCTCTCTCCTCTTTTTAGCTTTGAGCCCAAGAAACAGTGAAACTCAGAGCAAGAGCCAATACGTTAAAAAACAAAAAATAACACATTACTTAATTATTACATTTTGCACGACTTTTTCTCAAAATGAGCTGCAGTGGATGCCGGGTGTTAAGGCGAGGGTGCAAAGAAAATTGCACCCTAAGGCCGTGTTTGGAATGGATCCAAAACCCGCGGGCCCAAGCCAACGCCACAATGTTCCTCTCCAAATTCTTCGGCCGCAGCGACCTCATCTCCTTCATCTCCGCCGTGCCGGAAAACGAGAGGCCCGGTAATGTAATTTGTAAACCTCGCTTTTTTTTTTTGTTGTTTTATTTTATATATCCTCTTAATTTAAATAAAGGAAAATACATCTCATCTTGCAACTGACCATTTTAATTTCCGTGCAGCTTTATTCCAATCGCTGATGTTTGAGGCGTGCGGGAGGACGGTGAACCCGATCGGCGGGGCGGTGGGGCTGCTGACCACCGGAAACTGGCACATCTGCCAGGCGGCGGTGGACACGGTTCTTGCCGGAGGGGAGCTGCGGCCGCTGGCCGTCGGGATTACGGCCCCGGTGGGGCACGGGGCGCCGGTGGCCATGGATGGGCCCGCCGGAGGATGGGGCTGCGTGGACAATACGGTGTCGTTTGGGTCGGATTTGTCGGAGGTGTCGCGTGGGAGCGGTAGTGAGGATAATGGGCCTGTAAGGGCCGACGGCCAAAAGCCCAACCTTTTAAACCTTTTTCCTTAAAACTTTTTTTTTTTTTTTTTTTTGGCTTTCTATCTTATAAAGATAAAGCTTTTTACACATCTATTATTATAAAAAGAGAGAACCTAAATAATACATAAATAGTAACTAAAAAATAATTCGTATTCCCGCTAAAAAATATACTAGATATAGTAACTTGCTTTTTGAAATTTTTCATTTCCCGGTTTAAGTGTTAACTTTCTTTGAAATTTTTCATAATGCGTATAGATAGATTTGGTTTATCAAATTGTGCCCGATTTTGGATGCTTTGATTTGAGAATTTTGTTGCTAATTTGATTGCTAAACTGGATTTTCACGTGCCCGTGGATACTTTGTGGATATAACTAGCTGCAAGCGTAATTTCTGGAAACAAACTCACGAAAATGAAGAAAATTCAAACTACTTTAATTTTGGACAAATCGAGTGGCGTGTTATATAGTCTGTTTCTCATTCCTAATATACCATATGACAAGAAATGTATAAAAGCTTTATATTACTCAAAATAAATAAGATACTTAAGTGCAATTTTCTTTTTTTTTTTTTTTT